CGTTGAACTTTATACATTTATTTATATATTTTGATCTCCTTACTTTCTTCTTAATTGGTTGTATAGTACACAGAGATTGTACATATATTCAAGGAATATCTATCCTGCAAAAAAGTTTTATTATAAGGATGAATAGAAACACGTCAATATAAATTGTCTTAAAAAGTTTATTTTTACCATAACCAGGAAGAAGCAAAACAAAGCCTCCTAAATAGCTGAGGTCACATTATGGGGGTTGAAAAGAATGGTTTATGAGAAGCTATCTGCCGTCGGCCCCTGGAAATTGCCCTCGTGAAGGCCTCCCGCTTCCTTCCCTCATCCCTGAACGATGGGCGGATGTCTCTTTAACAGCTGGGGTTACCGACACAGCGGCTCGCAGGCCTGATGAGCTGCTCTCTCTATTTGCTCTGCTCATTCTCCTGAGCACCGCGGCCATCCAGATTAAAGCCCATGGCCCATTAGGCAGCCGGAGAGGCAGGCCACCTAAGAGGTGTAGCACAAAGAGCCACTGCAGGAGAGGGTGCATGTCTGTGTGCAGCAAGATAGACACTGCAAGTCATTCTGGGCGGAAAGAAATATTGCTCTGTATCAGCTCTGTTTGTTGTCTTGATATTTTGGAGCAAATCCACGAAAATGATTATTAAAAGTATGACAGGTATTTAATCTAATTTCATACTGGCTATCTTGACATCACTATTCGAAGTCTTAGTTTATTTATAAGAGAAAGTTTACAACATTTTAATGTGTGGACCAGTCATCAAACTAAAAGGTCCTTGAAGTATATTAAAGTATATATATAATGTGTGCATTTTTTTTGGATGCCCTTACCTTTAATAGACTTCACTTTTTTTAATTCATGCAAAACATCTTTAGGCTTAGCCAAAAAAAACAAAAGACAAAAGTCCTTTCAAATAAATATGTAAATCATTTAAAAAATGTATGTTTAAATGAGGCTTCATGGGTTTCTTGTTTTATAGGGGAGATAAACCTCAACCGGCTCCCGGTGCAGGCTTTATTGCTCCTCATATCGTGTCACATGACTTCCATCCATACCGCCATAGCGATGGCCGTTAGAGGCTGGCATCGTCCTACTGTATTTTTATCGGTGATCAACCACATGAATAGAAGATAATAGACTTCTGAACCTAACACCTCAGATTAACGCCTGTTTAAACGTCTGAAAGCAGGCACAGGGTGGTGGTCATAACTTTCACGGTCCCTTCGGATATGAGTAAATTATTAAGCAAGCAACTTTTTTTTTAATGGCAAAAATCCAACTTTGAGAACGACAATTTGAACACAATATGACAATGTCACTTATGTGGTATTTTTCTAAAAGTACACAGCAGGCAGCTGTTTTCATAAAAAAACAAAAGCCACCTGTTCATCACCAAGGAGCAAACTGGCATTGTTGGGATTAGCTGGAGAACAGACAGCAGCTTTTAGCTGGTGACTCAGACGTGTTCATAGAAGTCGGTAAAGACCAAAATGGAGACATTTCACTCGAATTCATCAGGTGGTGACAAAGCAGACCAATTAACAATCATATATCTGTAACATTGTATCTGGAAGTGTGAATAAACAATTGTTTTCAACAAGTTGGCTCTCTCTCTACTTAATTGACATATTAAGGTTGTGTTCACAGCTGGTTTCCGCTGCCGGGAAACGGCCCAAAAAATTGATAAGGATGTGTCTCTGCCAGTGGGGCAGGTTTGATTTCATCCTGGAAAATGAACTATTGACTATTTACAAAAATGACCAGCCGACAGCAAAACCAAAAGTAACTGTTGGCTAAACGTATATGTGAATGCTAACGTTCAACCCTCAGAGGCCTGCAGCTCCATGGCAACGCGTCATGTATATAAAAAAAGAAAATTGGAAAACAAGGCAAAGACTGCAATTTGTGGAAGGCAACGTCGCGGCACTGTGATTATAACTGTTTTTTGGAGAAATTGTATTTATCCACCATCTACTTTTTGTGCTGTGCTATTTGCAAATATTCGTTACCGTCTCCGTCTTTGCCAACGGATTTCATCTTCACACAGAATGCAAGTTTCCTCAGGGCAAATGTAATAATCAAGGGGAAAACGGGATTAATTGGTGCGGTGCATTTCCTTTGAGACTCTATTCCTTCCATTGTGAATGTGCTAAAACCCGCTAAACCTTTGTTGAGTGAATGTCTGCAGATTATCCCTGTTATATCAGCAACATCTGCATACGTGACTCAATGTTGTACTGTGTCTCTTCTATAACTGGTCCACTAGAGCATACAAACTGTCAACTGCTCTATAACTCCTCAGACGGCTTCTCATCCAGTATGTTTACCTTGTTTGAAAAGAAGAGTTGGACTTAATTGGGCTTTCGAGGCAGAACAGCTTATTAATATTTACCTACGATATTTTTTTAAGGAAGACATTTATTTTCTCTACAAAAATATGTTTCAGGGATTGGATTTTTATGACTACCCAGATATAAAGAAACTCTACTGGACTTTTATACTTATATTGTGCGCCGTAGTACCAGTTTGTACTTCAACATTTTCATTTGCATCCACTTTAAGACTACCAGTAACCCAAAGCATCATGTCTGAACTTATTGCCTCCAGCTGGATTTAGGTGGAGAGGGAGAAATGTTAATGTGAGATCAGGAAAGACAAGCTTGTTGGATACATCGCTTAAATAACCGTGTTAACTCTGAATTAATTTTGAGTAGTTCGTCTGGCCCTGAGGTCTCAACTTTAACAAGCCAGTCGTTTTTTTTCCTTAAGTAGTAAATCTTGTGTGTGACTTTGTGAGGCAGCGATGTAGACATTTGCTTTTTTTTCCTGACGTTGTCAAGTAGACTTTCTCTCTCTTCCCTCCGGAGGAGCCTTTGTGGTGAAAAGACCCTTCGGGCCAAAGTTAGGTTTTAATCCACGCGGGGAGAAGTTCTGTGTGGGCTGGCGGTGCATTTGGAACCGAACGTTAGTGAAGCTATTAGCGCTGTAAAGTCTCATTGTCTCTGTCAGTTGTGCTGATGTCTTCTCGTTCCAGTTCTTTGCCTGTGATGAGTACAGATGGACTGAGCCGGCTCGGGGAATCATAACTCACAGTTAGGCCCCCCTCTGTACACTACGGTCACAGCTCATTGACCAACATTACAGCAAAAGAAACCCAATCATTGAAGGGGGGGCAGGGGTGCAGTCGAGGACCTCCTCTTAACAGTTTGCTTCCGATATCGTCCTATGCAGGTGTGAGTGACGATTTAAGTCATCAGCAAGTTCTGGTTTGCCTTTAGTACAGTTGTAATACATCACAAATTCATATGGAAATGGTCCTAATGGCAGTTGATCAACCCAGAACCAAGAAAATAGGATTAAATAGTCCATAGAAAATGAGCAATTTTAGGGGAAAAAAATGTAGTAGAATTAAGGTATAAATGCACAAATTGTTCCGTGCCCCTATAAATGACATATTTAACACAAACAATTTTGCCACTAGTTTAAAATTTCTACCACATTTAGCCATCTTTTTTTTTATAGCTGCCATACATTTCCCCGGTGGCGTTAATAGCTTGGTCCATTTCTACACAGCGCGAATCCTCCCAACCAGCTACAATAGACACAAGCAGGCTGCATGCGTTCAATATATTCTACTCTACAACCCTCCGTCCTCCAAGGTGTTTGCACATTGCTCAGCACAAAGTCAGTGGTCGTTTGGCAGCTCCTGTGTATTGTTTGGTGATTGGCTGGGAGCTAAGTGGTGGTGACAGACTGCGATGTTGATGTATTTACCTCCTCTCTGCTGTCAGAAAGCAGTTCCTGCGTCCTGATTGACTGGGTCTCATCACAGAGGCCAGCATCGCTTTGTTTAAGGAGGTCGGGTTGGGGAGGGTTTGCTTGCTCACTCGATGAGACGTCCATGAAGATGAGAAGAAGACCTTCCCTAATCTTGGCTGACATTGGCCGCTTGGCAAGCAGAGCACTCGCAGCTCGCGGTGTGAATGTGAAGCTACTTCCTCCGTGACAAAGTTTGTCGGATATGCTGAGGTTTGCAGGAGATTATCAGCATTTTTCTTATATGATATATATTCACACATGATATGTCAATAACCATATACTTGACGGGCTTCGATGAGATACCAAATCCTAATTAGGATTATTATATTGCAACAAGCACAAAGGAAGGCGCGATGAATGCTTGCTGCTTTTTACAAAGGTCGCAGGTCACACCGCACGGCCAGAGTGAGGTCAGTTTAAGACATGGCCCCTTGCGGGGGTTCAGTGTGGCAGGTTTTCACTGGTCAGTGCACATCGTTTCCAACTAGGCAGTCTCATTTTGGGGGGCTTTGATACTGTCTGTTTGCTGTAGGGAGTATAATAGATCTAAACCCTACTCATCACAATTCAACATCAGCTTATGTCGCAGCCATTCCTCTGGAAAACCAATAATAACACAGGCTTACGTGTGACCCAAACAGTACCCGCGGCATTAAAGTGAGGGATTCAAGGGACGAGTTGGATTTGTACTGAGTAATTGGCTTAAGATCCATCATATTGTTTATATGTAGTAATCAAAGAAGAAAACATCTGTGCACATCCCAATTAATCACCGTGCTTCTAATTAACATTTTAACAATTCTTAGTTTGTGGGGGTCTCAGAATTTTATTTCAGGGGGCAGGAACACCACCGTCTGATTTACTGATCAATACTAATGTGAATCATCCATTCACCTGCAGGTGAAAGAGGAAGAAAATGACTAATTAGGAATTAGTGCATGCATTCTTTTTTTCATTCAACATTGCAGTATCAGAGCTATATCAGAGCCTGTCTATTATTGCACCTCCAATGGGGCATTTTCACATCCCATAGTAACGGGTACTGACGGCCTTTTCCCTCCGACGGGGTTCTACTTCCCCACACTGGGGTCCTTGGTGGAAGAATTTGGGAAGCCCTGCACTTGAACCAATGAGACAACACGCACGCACGCGCACACGCACGCACCCCACTGCCTTGTCAGCTAACCCCCTCTAGCGCCGAGCGCCCTGCACAGATGCGCGCAGTCTCCCCGCGTATACCCGCCGCTTGTGCTGCTCCTCCGCACGCCGAAACCTTCCTCCGTTCCTCCGTTCCTCCGTCCACCGGCTCCTGCGACCCCATCCGGCCGCTGCAGCAACACCGGGCTGGAGACAGCGAGCCGGCGGTCCGCGCGCCGCATCGCGGTGCCAACGAGGATTCCCAAAAAAGTCCGTCACGACTCTGTGCGCCACGGAGACGCGCTTGTTTCGGCATGGACATTTTCAGATTCTCCCGGAAAACGACGCAACATCGGGGGACTGTGAAGTCCGCGGGAAATGTGCGAAGTTATCACGAGCTGTAGGTGTTTCTCACCTGTCTGATTTTTTATTTGTTTTTTCGTTCACTTTCGATATATTTGGCACACTTTATACTAAATCCTTCGGTTTGCGCGCCATCGCCGCCGGTATGGATCCCGTCGTGTTCCGTTCGGGTTTCTCCCACCGGAACCGAATGTAAGGACCATTGGATCGGTGCTCGCGGTGGATCCAGCCGCGCTTTATCTCAGACCACCTCTCGGCTAGAAGTACCTCCTATAAGGTCCGACGTGTTGCAGCAGACATGACTTTTGGAAACAGATATTTGCTCGTTTCACTCTTTCTCGGATTTTCCCTCACTCGCTTCAGCTCCAGCAACCAAGGTGAGTTAGATGTTTCTCTCCTACCTTCAACTTGTTTCCGCTTAAACATGCTGGTGCGGAGACGGTTTGGTAGAACCACTAAAGTAACACACTATTTCCAAGTAACGTTGAGTGGGTTTAACCAATAACTCATAACAGCGATTCAGCACAAAAAAAGGATATTGATATTCATCCAGGTATTGCGCAAAGGCATTGAGGATTTTATCTGCAGCAATGTTTTTTTTTTTTGTTTTTTTAAATAAAATTCATTATCGTATTATAATAATCGCAGCCTCAGATTCAATCTGTGTTATTTCCCACTGGAGTTCAATGGATTGCTCCAGCTCCGTTTTTATCCCAACCCTGAAACATAAGGATACGGAATACGTGTTTTATTCAAATCAGCTGCTGGAGTGACAAACCTGAAGCGCCCTTAATTAAATTACACACAAACACAGGACGAAACACGCACACAAACACACACACACACACACACACACACACACACACACACACACACACACACACACAAAGGGACGGAAACTGACACAGAAGACAGTACAACACATCGGCCGCACATTGAGTTATGAGGGGGGGGACGGAGTGTGTGCCTGTATGTGTTGTGCTCTGGGTCTTTTATACAGACACTCACACACACCTACACGCATAAAGGTTCTGAGCTGCCTTGTCCTTGTTCACTTGCATGCATAAACGTACTTGTGTGTGCACTTTGTGTTGCTCTTTGATGCACATGATGTCTGTACGGGGTCGTCGTGTCGCAGGGGTTAGAGAAGGTGTGCTGGGAAGCACAAGGTTGTAGGTTCAATTCCAGGCTGCCCCATGTTCCATGTCGAAGTGTCCCTGAGCAAGACACCTAACCCCTAATTGCTCCCCAGGCGAAAATGTGAAAAAGCCATGGGTTTAAAGTGTAATGTAAGTCGCTTTGGATAAAAGCGTCTGCTAAATGACCTGTAATGTAATGTAATGTAATGTACGGGTACAGTGTCAAAGTAGCATTGCAAGCACCGGGCTCCTGCACGTGCACTTATTTTGCATTGCACTTGCCTTTCTATGTCATGCCTGAGTGTTGGTGGGAATGGGTATGTGTGTGTGTGTGTGTGTGTTTCTCTCCGTCGCTCTACGTGCACACACACACACACACACACATGCAGCTGCAGCATCAGTGAGGTTTAAAATAGTCTTATTGATTGTGCGGGACACAGCGGGATCGGCCCCCCCAGGTTATATTTTATTGTTCTCTTAGTTCAATAGGAGTGATTTCATGTTCCCCAAGACAGCTGCTACATAACAGCCTCACTCTGTGTTTTTCTCTGCCACAGATTGAATGATTGAACTGGTGTCTGCTTTCTATTGTGCTTTGCTCTGTCATATTGACCGGGCTGCGACCAGCTTCTCCAGAGTGGTCTAGTTCAGAATAGAAGAAAAAAAAAACATCACGCCGAAGAAAAGTGTCTCATCGGGGGGCCAAGGGATTTGGTTTTCTTTTTTTCAGCCTGCCAAATCACGATTGTTTCTCAATGTATTGCTTTCGCCCCAATCTTCTCAGGTTTGTGCTGCGTGGCTCGTTGAGGTCCATTTAATGTTGGGTTTCGAGGAGACTACATTTGGATTCAATTGTCTTTTTCCACCCTCGCACCCAATTCATGTTGCGATCCAGCAACCTCATGACCATTACACAGGGTCGCTCTAGTGCAGTTTGATACGCACGAACACAGAAAAACACAACTCACAAAGATGAGGGGATTTCACAGACGAAATTGGGCGAGATGTCAACTGTTAGGAGAGAACAATAAAAACCAATCACCTTTTGCTTCTCGCCTGCGTGCCTCCGTTCACGGCAACACATCAGATAATCCCTCACATCAACCCTACTGGGATTGCAGACAGTTATAAACAAAGCTCTACTCACTCACTGCCAAGTTTGAGCAAGCATGTTTTCCCCACCAATGGATCTCTTCCCATTATCTTTAACTTTCATCAACTTTTTTTTTCCATTCTCCCTCCCTCATGAAGTTGGGGGCAGCTATATTTATTATAAGGAACATTTCCTGAGCCCTTTTCTTTTACCGAGCAGAAGATTTCTCAAACCAGCAAATAAAAAGGTGTTTTTGATCGACACTTCGTACATTGTTCCAATAGATTTTATTTTTTACTCACAGAAGTTTAAAAAATTAAATAAAATTAGCCATTAATCTTTGTAAAAGGGGAATAAGCATATTTTTAGTATAAAACATCACATGTTACTGTCATTTCTTAGGGTCAAATGCATCTTAATGACAAACTGCTGGATTGTTACAAGTTTAAAGCCATTGCTACGCATTAGAGGAATCCGTTTATTGGGCTACTTACAAGTTTAGATGGCAAGACACAAAAGGATTTAGCAAATCAGTGTCAAAATAAAAGCTTTCTGCATTTCTTTACATGGACGTCCGTGTAAAGCGTTTGCTCTTTTTGGCATCACTGCTGTAGAATGTGACAGCGTGTCACCAGCAGTCTGCTTTCAGGGGAAAATCAATGAATCAATATATTCACAGTTGCTGCAAAACGGTTCACTCTGCACCTTTTGGCTCGCAGGCCACATTGTGTAAATCTAAGACTTTCACGATCAAGCAATTGCAAACGAGCAATTGTATATTAGTCATTTTTTACACTCTTAGCTTTGTATTCCTATATGTACGAGGTTGTGCGTTAGCAAGCCATGCCAGAGGGGTGTCATCTGCATGAAGGTCCCCTACCTCGAGATATGGAGATGATTTCACACACACACAGTGCTCAGCTTGCTCAAAAGCAACATCCACTTCATACCTGACACTTGAGGTAAATAACTCTTCACCAGTCATGAATAGTCAAGCAAATATAATTCAGGAGCTGCTTCATTTTTTTCTGTTGAATATAAAAATGGAAAACTGGAAAAGCAACTACAAGAGGTTTTCATACTCGTGAATGACATACAAATACACTCAATGTAAAAAGGGATTTCATGAAAGACTGCTGTAGCTCTCTTCTTCCTCCACCCTAATCAATGATATCACCGCATGTTCTGCTCCTTTGAAAGCAGATTGCAAACACCTGTTTTCATTGCCGGTGTGCGCCATAACTGCGACATGCTTACGCTCAACATTGAAGCAGCAGTCGAGCGCTGAATGGCCAATTCAAATGTGCATTAATTTCCTTTACCAATCTCTCATGTACAAACGCTTAGAGAGCAGACGACACCCTCGGTGGCCCTTTAGTGCCAGTTCTGAAAGTAGTCAGGCACTGTAGCGACTCAAGTGACTGACGAATCTCCTAGGGGTCATGTGACCAGCCGCCAACGTCGAAAAACTGAGGCAAAGCAGTGTCACATTTGCAGAGTAACACCACAAACTGCAAGAGTAAACGGTAAAAGTCCTCCACCGACCAGTCCACACGCCTCTCAAATACTCCATCAGTTTCTTTGGCCGTCCCATAATGATGCAGGTGAGTTTAGACTTTGGGTGGAGCCGTGCGTCATCACAGTCGCTGTGAATCAGACGCCGAGGGGCCCCCGAAGAAGAGGAAGAAGCTGAGAGAACGGCTTGATTTGATCTCGGAGAAATGCAGAGAGTGTTAAAAATGTTCTCATGCCTGCCGGATTTCCTTTGCTATGGAAAGTCTTACATATAAGCAGCATATCATCCAGCCTGTGCAGTGGATGATACGCCTTGTTTACACCAGTAAATGACAGTGTGCAATCCTCACTTAAACACTCCCCAAAATCAATTTTCCAAACCCTCTGTTCATCAAATGCTGGTGTTTGTCTTTAGAGCACGCTGTTCGCTGCGATCGGCATCCAGGAGCCTTTTAACTCCGATGTTATATTGCACTGAAAAGCGATGTTTTCGCAGGATTTCTTAAACGAGGGGACGATGTAGCCTGTACACCTGTAGACAGCTGGTGTCACTTTTGTCTCAAACTGTTCCCAATTCAAAATTGACATGACGCAACACTGGTCGAGGCTGACTTTGGGTCTTTTGCGCAGGCTGTAGTTATTTTCAGGTGTTTGTGTGGCCCGAGAAGCCCGCAGGACAGACATGAGATGTCATCATTCTGCTGTAGCTCCATATATTTATGAGTTGGCCAGCTCATGTTCTATTTATATCCAACCAGTGGAAGTCCCAAAGGACCCTCCGCTCCAGGCAGGGTCTGTGGGTGCCTCGCCAAAAGATAACGAGAGAGAAAGAGAGAGAATGAGTGCATTTTGGAAAATGAAAAAAGCTAGTTTAAAAAAAATTAAGAAGTAGTTTTTAGTTTAAAAAAAGATTCTGTACTGTCCCATTTTAATATACAGTATGCCGTCATGTTGGTTTAGTTTGTTTGTGTCTTCTGGTCTGGCTATTTTCTTTTTTGTTCATTGTGTTGTCTCTCCGTTGTTGACTGTGGCGTCGTCCGTAATGTTTCCTGTTTGCGTCCCTCCAGTTTACCTCACAACGGTTTCATGTGTTTTGGCCCAGTCTATTTTTAGGGCCCATCCCCTGTTGTCTGTCCAACAGACCGGGACACAATTTGTTGAGATGCACAACTATCGCTGCGGCTGTTCCAGTATTTTGTACAACTTGTCCATCAAGATTATATTTCTTAGCTGTTAGAAAGTTTGAAAACCAGATTTTGGGCCAGCACGGCCAAGTTCCCTGTTGGATACCTCTTCACGCTGCCTACTAATGTTCATCAGCTGTTTTTTATTTATAGAAAAAGTGTGAAACTGCTTACTGCACTGAGTAACACGGCCAATTCTAGGTAATTAGGCTGTCCGCCAGGGACCGTGCTGCTTAGTGCTTACCTGCCTTCGGTAGTCTAATGGTGTCCATTAACACCATTGTATTGCCAGCTAGTCGTCCAGCACAGAAAGAGAAGGAAATATTAAACTAACCTCGCAAAGCAGAAAGGAGCAGATTGGAAGAAGACTGTGAAACGATCATTTGTAGACTTTATTTGGCTGTGTTGGACAGGATGGTCAATCAGTGTGATCACCTTGAATCATCCTCCTCCTACGTTTTCATGTCTATCAATGATCATTATCTATGCATATGTTCCACAGTACATGGGTTAGTTAACTCAATGTTTTCAAGTTGTCTGGAATAAACAGAAAAAGAACTTGGAAGGTAGCCTGAGAAATAGAAATTCAATTTTCCTCAACAAAAAACTACAAGGCCGCTTTGAGAGCACAGACCTCGACCACGGAAAAATGCTCTATCTCACAATTGAACATTGAAATTTTGAGTATTTCTCGCTACGATTCAGATTCCCTGCTTTGGCCCGTGCTTCACCCTTCTACCAAGTTGGATGCCACTCACCCGGGCTGTCAGTCACTCACAGAGAATATTTCTACAGATGACATTTCTATCATACTTCCCTTTTAAATCTAAGGGAAATCAAATCTCTTCTTCAGGAAGCACACACAACCATTATGTTTGAGAATGCATTGTCTGGCACACTAAGAGTTCCCGCTCCATTAACATGACCTCAGCAGCTCATTGCTTTTACCTCTCCCTGCATATGTCAAGGGAAATGGGAATAAAGGCAAATAAACGACTGCTTAAGTGGTAAAATACCTACTTAATATTCCCAGAAGCTATGTACTGTATTTAGATTATGTTTGTAGTTTTTATACTACTTTAATACTGTTCGGGTCCTCTTCACTGTTTTCTTTACCCTCACAGGTATCGTAGACCCATTTCAAGCAGGAAGCCGTAGAGTTTGAATAAACTCACTTTAGACTCAGGACCTAACAGCACCGAGCAGGTGAACATAGAGGAGTATACAGGTGCTGGAGACACAGATATTTCCCTTTTCTTCACTGGGTGTTCAGGCACACAAATGCTAATGTCAGTTCAGATTTACTCCACAATATGTGCAACTAGTCAATAATGCATATTACTCTTAAAGGTGATGATTGCTTCGAACTTTTTGCGCTGCCCCAAGTGGCCAAAAGTGAATTTAACTCTGGTAAATCATTTGGCAGCTGTTGTACTGGCAGCTTGCGAGTCACAAAGTCCTAGAATAAGTATGCTTTTTCTGCAATTGTTCTATATATATTTGCCTGCTGAACAACATCTCAGGGTTCGCACATCCTGGACGTTTTTCGCAACTCTCGGATGTCGTGATACACTTGTTTGGCTCCTAAACAGGTGTCGCGCCAGTGTGCGTCATATACCGGTTCTCTGAGACGGGGGGAAGTGGAGGAGCATTGAGTTGTATATGACACGTATGCACAATGAAAAGCTCAGTGAGCAGATGCTTGGGCAATATCTGTCAACCACGCTCCATCAAAGGTGTACTGGCTCGTAGCTCCGGAACAGAGAGAATCAAAACCGTCTCTTCCTTCTGCAAGGTTGCCTTTATCTTGTCAGGGTACATTCACAGATATCACTTAATTTGCAAATATCACCGTTAGTTTGCAAATGATAATACAGAACAATTCAACTAATACTTCCTCTCAAGTGCATCCAGTCGTTACGTCTATCAATCGCAAAGCAGTGATGTTAATAATGAAATGTCTGGTGCCTCCTCAAGGACACTTACAGGGCTCTAAGTGGACAGTCTTGACTGACTCTTAAAAGGTCAAATACACTACAATCATTCAGAAATCCGTGTTTCTACAATAAATGTGGGGTTCACAGCTTGGAATTTAAGAGTTTAAGTTTGAAGATGGCATTTTTGTCGACAGATTTTTGATGACTCACAGCACGTGAGATAAATGATTGGCTTAGACTCAAACCTCTTGAGTCTACTGTTGTGTTTTGCACAGCTTTCACTCTGGCACTGATACCCAGTTGGGTTCCCGTACCTGCATCCTGACGCATCCACACATAATGAGGATATAACTGTGTCGTCACAAGCACTGCGCATTTGCCACATTTGACCACGTGACTGGATGGGCTTGATGTAATATGTATGGATTCAGAAAATACAACAACATTTGCGATAATTGTTTATTCCCTAATGTTTAGGTTAAAAACATTTTGGGGATGTAAGTGGAGGCATACTGGAATCACACTGGAGGTGAATCGAGGAAGCTGTGTCTGCTCCTTTTCTCTGTAAAGAGGCACATTCCCCCTGAATTATTAAATATTCTGTCCTTGAGACTAAGACACAAAATATTGTCGTGGATGGAAATAGTTTCAGTGCAAAATTTCCTTTCAACACTACGTGCAAGGTCATACGGAACTCACACTATAATAATGATCCACCGGTATTAATACCACTGTGTATTAATATCACTGTACTAAAGCTCTAATGTACATTCCTAAACACTATACCAGAATATTGATGAATAATCAGCTTGGTGAAGCGCATTTTCTCGTGGAATAAGAAGAGTTAAGGGTACATCCCTCCCTGATTATATGTCTTGAAGAGGCTCAGTCCCAGGCAGAAGGAAGCGTGTTGCGTTCAATGGGAAGGGATGGCAGGAGAGGGAATGGTCTGTGTACAGCAATCCACCTGTAATCCATCAGTTCCCAAATTATGTCGCAAGTAGGGAAGAATGTTACACCGACTGTATACGTCGCCACGCTCATAAATATTCATCCAGGAAACTCATTTCTGTTAATATTTAAAAAATGTCTAAATGATCCCGCTTGTGACTGATAATACAATTTGCGTGTTAAAATAGGAGTGTTTGCGTTTTGACGGATTGCTAACGCTTGTAATTTCCTTTTTTGTCCCCATTTCAGTCGTGCTGCTGGATACGACGTCGGTGCTCGGAGAGCTCGGATGGAAGACGTATCCTATAAACGGGGTAAGGAGAACATCTCTTTCCTCAACTGACTTCCCAGTGTGTCGTGTTATAACGGCATGCCCATATCTGCATCAATAACCTCAATTATGTTGATTTTAAAAGGTCAGAATGGGAGGCTGGGATCTTTTTTTCCTATTCACATTCTGTTTTTTACCCCTTTGTCCAAACGAGAAATACTGTAACTTGGAGAAAGAGAAGGAGCCACGGTCTCTAAGGATGCTCATCAATCTTCCCTTCCTAATTGTTTAAGTATAAAGTATGAATATTTTACTGACTCTTTAAATGTTTGCTGAAGAAACGCATACATAGTCGGACAAATCAGTCTAGCCTGTGCTCACAAAGCCAAGCGTGTACTGCAAAAACGTAGTGTTCTACCTTTCATCTGTTCGTCTGTCAGCTCCTAGAGTGACGGTAACAGCATGGCCTGTACCGTAGTCTGTACTTTCGTCGGCCAATTTCCCGAAAGGTTATTCCCTTTTTGTTTTTGCAGTAAATGCCTGCAGCTCTTCACAGATATCTTGTCCAACTGAAAATCTAAACTTTTCAAACTGCTGCAAGTGACAAACTGAAGGTCTGATAATAATGAAATATAGACGGGCTGACAACAACATGCAGTGTCCTCAGATCAAAACTTCTCTATTCGTGTTCTGTCAGAATACCTGATGGACTGATTGAACAACAGTCACAGAACTGGCCTGCTTCCAACCCGTTTTTTACCTTCACACTGCTAGTTTTATTCCCATACCTAATTAACCAAGAGCCATAATCTAATTCAAGATGGAGACTGATAACAGGATGCTGGCTATCCATCTTTGTCCATGCAACTCCAAGCAGTTCTTGTCTGACCATGTCCAACTCCCTAGTTTCCCTCTGTATACCTGTAACAAATCCATGGTTTATTGCCAGGAAAATGCCTCGGGCTTTAACCTTCTTTTATGTAGTGTCTTTCAAAATGTCAAGTGCTTTACTCGATGAGGTTACTGCCTGGTGGTGCAGCGTTGATCCGTGTTGTATCTAATCAGATGGGACTTTCTCGTGACATGATAAAGATTTATAAATAAGTCTGTTGAGCGGAAGAATTATGTTTACAATGTCGTTTTACTGATTATGTCTTGAAGTTTGCGGTGTGAACAGACGTCGTGTGCGTGTAGTTTACCATTCCAAAGCACGATAGCTTCTTTAGCGCCGAAACATATACATCTTAAATAAAAAAGGTTGACCCTGACGTTATTTTAAATATCCCTGCATCCTCCAGTGTCCGTGCCATCAACCTAAAATCGAATGCAAAAATCCAACGGCCCTGCAGTACCGTCAACACAAAGTAGTGGAAAGATAGCGTGTTAGCTGAACTTTTCAGTAGGGATTCATTTTGAACTCTCTGCCCGTACTGTGTTTGGCAGGCCCGGCAGTATGGATCATTTATTCTCTTTCATTTTCGAGCTATGTAGTGTTTACTCCATCCTCCACTCTCCGTACAACTCCACACTTACCACACAAAGTCTCCATGGGTTTTGACTTGACATGATCCTTTGCTGAGAGATCCCTGAGGCCCACCCCCCCCGAACCCTCCCAGCCCTTCACTGTCTTTCTATCTCTTCCTGCGAGGCCCTTGGTGGCCCATATCAGGGTTATGGAAGTGATTACATCATGTAGGTCGTGGTGACAGCCGCCCACAGCATTAAGGAAAGAGGAGACAGGGAGGCTGCTGCCTCCATGATTAAGCTGTCAGCCCGCCACCATCCTCACTCATCCGCCAACCCCCCGATTCACCATTAATATTTAAGCAATGGAGGTGAGAGGCCCCGGAGGGAAGGTGTGCAAGATCTGGGGAGGTAAAATAGTTTAAATCCCCCTCGCTACCAGGGAGGCGGGCAAGAGGAAGTCAATCCCCACCATATTAGACACAGCCTGGTATCAGTCCCATACAGCAGCTCGGCATGCAGCCGCCTATCACAGTCGCACACGGGTTTGAGTTCCGGATGTAAACCCGCTGTCAGTCAGTTCTGCCCAATGCACGTCTTAAAATAATTTTAACTGGTCCAACATGATTACCTGGTGATGAGTTTGCCAGGAATATGGCTGGTCGTATGATGTGAGTTTGAAGGTGAAGTGGAAATTGGGTGTGTATTTATGGATGCGTTTTTATCAAAAGCTTGTAAACAACCCTTGTAAAGAGAGTAAGGTGAATGGTTTTGTAGGGGAAGGTGAACCCTGAGGAGCGCACGCAGTGGGAGCCTGCCGGCATCAAAACACTGCACACTGTGGCTTTCTTCACTTTGGTGTTTTCCCCCGTGGTCAGCGCCTTTCCAACGCTGGCGCCGCTTACTCAGCCAAATGGCTAAAATGTCAAATCTATTGTAAAGAGAATGAAAAATCTTTTTTTCTTTACTTTTTGTAAAAAAAAATATTATTGCAAAAAATATTAAAAAATTAAAAAATTATATAATTAATATTAAAATATTAATTTAACTACTCTACATAAGAAGAGCTATAGTACTGTGTCACTAAAATGCAACTATTACCTGGTTAAGTATGGTGAATAAGCATATGATATGGCATATGACAGGGATATGAGCCCTGATTAGACCCATAAGTAAAGCTATACTTCTCAGTTGCTATACTTACCTATATTCTAGCTGGACATCAAAACAGCTTTTCGTTTTGTATCAAACAAACATGTGAGGTACAGTTGTTTTGAAGCAGCCTGTTAAAGCCTATAATGACCATGCCCAGCCTTCAGTGGGAAGATGGCCTTTGATTATTTGACCTTCCCAGCCTGGAAAGTAAGCAGACCTGTTTCATTTGGCCCACGAGGGCAAACCGTGCACAGAGGACGGTTATGTTTGTTAATGACTCACAGAGTCTGAAAACACAATCGCCCTCAAAGCTTTTACTCATTAGATGAATGCATATTGAACAGCAATTAATCCATACCGTGTCTTTCAAGGACTTTGACTCTGAAAAGCTTCCCTGAAGTGAAAGTTAATAATTGTGCGTGCTTGAGAGCGCCGGCGGCGAGCTGATTCCTCAGTGGAAAAATAGGCGGGGTGGTTGTTGTCCATGAGGCGAAGACGCGTGTCCCCTATTCTCTGTCTCGCTCTCCATGTTCTGAAATGCTGAGTAGCGATGAAGAACGGCGCGTCCGAGGGCTGAATGACAGGGAGCGACAGGAGAGAGGAGAAGGTTGCGAGGGGTTGATTTGGCGTCTGCATGCAGCCACAATAAGCTCCACTCAGAACGGGGCAGACACACTGCTAAAATATGCATGAGTCATTTCCCTGTGGTGAGCGTGGGGGTGGGGTGCGGGCCAGTGAGATGAACTGCTTATTTATTACATTACACAACAGCTTTAAGGGATTAAACATGCCTAATGTTTCCCTTTGTTTCCACTCATTGACATCACAATGGCAGTTCGGACCACAAAGAGCGATGGCTGTCCATCGTAAAGGGAGGATATAATCCTTTTTTTTAATCTAATGTCGGGGATCCCGGGCAGCCAATAAGTCAGCACTACCGGGGGGCATAGAAGCGCAGCAAGCGGGGAGCAGAATGCTGGCACATTGGTTTACTGCTGCCGTAACACTGCTCAGTCAAATGTTAGACGGTGCATTTTGTCGTCACGGTCGTGCAGAATGCAGATGCGATGGAGGATTTTGAATGAAAAGAAAGGTCAATTTAAGTGTGGTTAAGTATTTACACGTCTTCGTTTTGTCAGCCGCTTCTGGAAAAGGTCTCTGCTGCATCTGCTTGCACCGGCCCTTCAAGGTACTGCAGCGTGTGCCCCGCTCTCGTGACAATACGGTTGCCATAAAGTCCCGCAATTCAAGACGGACGGCACCGTTTGCAACCAGTTATTGCAAACGGTGCCCTGCAAAAACAGACTTGTGATTGACAGGTAGGGGAAGCAGGGAATAGAATCCATACAGTGTTGGATTCCAACTCATTTGGGATTTTGCAACTGTTGCTTTTGTCATCATATAGATTGATAATGTGCTACAATAATACCCAGCTCTTCCCCCCAATGCGACATGCGTGATGCTGGTTGACATAAAGTCCCCAAAAATAGGTCTGTCAGTTTTGGGGGAAAGTTTTCAGCGGATTGCCGTCAGATTCAGGCTTTGAGTTTTTTTGGGTGGGCATACAGAGGGAGATAGGATGGGCTGTGGGAGAAAGCATTCGCACGCCCTCTCAAGCCTCTTTACTTTATCCCAATACTAATCCTAATCTTTTTATTGCAATATTTAACCACAGTAATTGATTACAACTACACGACCTGAGGCTTATCTCAAAGTAATTCCTGCATCCTTGGAGAGCGGGGGGGGGGAATCGCTATTTCAGTGTCCTTCGTAGCTCAGATAAACTTCTCTAAGGCGTGCTGCTGAGTGACGGCCGGCAGCGCTGCAAAAAATCGAGAGGTGGGGGGGGGGGGAAAGGGAATAATCCAGAATCACTCCACTTCTCCCCACGGAAGCGGTAATATAGAAAAAAGGTATGATGATTTAGCACACCGGCGTTCGTCTCAGGGACCTCTGCCATAACCGGGTTTAAGCAGGGCCGGGGGGATTCCTTAATTGGCTTGTTTCTTGTCAGGGACACACTGAGGCCAATATCTAATGCGCTCCCACTCGGCATCTCGCTGACAGCGGAACGCGCTCTGACAGCTTTTTGGGCTTACCCTCAGCGTGTGAGGAATACAGTGTGGCTGAGGTAGGGAAGGACGCTGGAAGGGGGGCGATTGGGGGGGGCGGATGGATGCAAATGAGAAGAAGAGGAGGAGAAGATGAAGGAGGGACGAGGGGAAAAGGTATCAGTGCCTAGTTGAATGACGAAGATGGATACGTGAATATGGAAAGGAGCGGAGAAAAATAGGATGTGTTGTTTATGCAGACGGACGTGTTTCTTTTGAAGAGGGAAAAACTCTGGAAATCTTCAAGTCTTAAGTTTTAAATACAGATAGATTAATATTACAGTCTAAATAAAGACATTTATAAATAAGAAAA